CGCATCCCATAGAGCTGCGTAGCCTACTGCCAGGAAGCTCTAACAATATCGTGGTAAGAATGGTGGCATACCCACATGTTCTGGAAATGAAAGGACGCTCGCCGAGGGGAAATAGAGAACCTACACCGAATCAGAAGGGGGGCATGGTCGGATCCAATTCGAGCAAGGTGTGTTACAACCGTGGTCGCAAACACCCTCGTCCACGCCTCTGAGTATAGGGCGCGGTCGAGCCTCTCCCTCAATCCGACCCTCTACCATGTAAAGGAGCCCCTTCGTATCCAGCGTCGATTAGCTCACAATCCGATACAGCATGCGAGAAATCTAAGATCTCCGCGGAGCGGTCCGATACTCCACCAATGCGTTCATCGGGATACAAAAATATTTTGAAATCACTGCTAACCATCCACGGTAATCCCTCCATACTCTTAGCAATCTCACGCATGGTGTCCCAGAGGTCATAACGACCAACCCTGCACAGCTGGCATAAACCAAGGTGTGGAAGATCGGCTCTGGAAGAGGGCAGCGGTGAGCTTCACGTGCAAGACCTGATCAGTATCTCGAAGGATCTGACAAGTAAAGTCACGCGAGTGGAAAAACCAAATCTTGTTAGAGGTGTTGCCCATTCCGGCATGAAAGCCAAGGCGGCACGAGTATACGTCAAAAGAGGGGTCACGAGTCATAGGCTCTAAAAAAGCCGCAAAGTCAAGGTTATGCTCACGAATGAGAGATTTAACATGAGCAAGGGTGGTCCTATTAGCCAGACCACGGGCATTCCATGTAATTTATGTGACTGACATGTCAAACGTCAGTGGATCTGCCTAGCAGAACTCGGCTAGCAGAAAGCTGCGCAGTCCTCGATCTGGTCTGTGGTCTCTGGTGCTCTAGGACCACCTAGGCAGGGCCCTATCGCATGGGGGGAGACTCCGGAGGTAGGAGAATGAGTTGAAGGTGCTCCAAACCATCCGTGCTCTGCGTCTGGCCCTGTGGGGAAGACTGACCAAACTCGATAGTGGGGGGTGTGGGGGAAGTGGAAGGTAGGGTCAGAAGGGGTCGAACTGGTGGATCGATTTGGCAGTAAAGGTGCCAGAAATCGCATCCCGAAAGGAGCGAGCTCCGGTTGGGCAGGGACCCTTGTTCGCCGTTTGGGGAGGGGGGATGACCGTGCTCGTCCCTTGGTCAGAGGAGCCCCTCGGTGGCTGCTCACTGAGGCCCAACGGAGAAGTGGATGCCGGAGGAGAGCCGCGGCCTAGTACCCCTGCCGTTGGCAAGGTGGTTGTGTCGATGTCGATGATGGACGAGGTCGGGAGAGATGGAGACGTCGAGAACAGAGTCGAAAAAGGCCCGATGGTCGATGGAGGGATCGACGTGGTATCCCTCGGGGGCTGAAAAGCACTGCCAGCTCCGGAGATGAGGAGCGAACTCCCGGATGGCGGCAAAATGGATCCTGAAGGGAAGACGGCCCTAGAGCCATGAAGACCAGCCGCCGAGAGGTCGCCGGAGGGTTGTGGGAGTCTGGTGTCGCTGCCGGCATTAGGGCCGCCGGACACCGGGAGCAATGGTCTGCGGGCCGCCGGAGGGATGGAGCCGGCGGAGGACGTCAGGGCTGTTGGGTTATGGGGATGGTGGGTCTGCGTATGGGAGAGTGATAAATGTGTTGGCATGGTGTTGAAATGGTTGTTGGGCTGGAACTCTGCTGGGTCAAAGCAGCCGAAATAAAAAGAATCAAGTTGGGGTGATGGAGCAGATGTTTGGGCCTGGGAGACAAGGCCCAATGGTTGATGGGGGTCCAATTGAGCTGTGGGGATGATGAAAGGAGGAGCAGATGGTTGGGCCTGGGAATCAAGTTGGGCTGAAGGAGCAGATGTTTGGGTCTGGCAGATGTGGGCCTGGGAGACAAGGCCCAATGGCTGATGGGGGTCCAATGGAGCTGTGGGGATAATGAAAGGAGGAGAGCCAGCCACGTCACTCTCTCCCCTATCCAAAACAAGCATTTGTCGGTGCTCGGGAGGGGAGCAGAAAACCCCAGATCCGAGCTGAGGGACGGCGGCGACGGCGCTCTGAAGAACTCCCGGTGAACATCCCTATAGAAGGTCGAGGTTGCTGGTCGCCATATGTCGGATTCTCCAAGGGTCGGCAGCTCTTTTCTTCTCCGGCGAGAGAGGCAGCTCCGGCGGAGAGCTGATTGGATGCGACGCCCCCAACGATGGTAGGAGGCGAGACCGGCCAGATGCCTCCGAAATGAGCGGTCTTCTCCGTCCTTTTGTCAAAGACTGTGGAGAGCTTAGAGCGGAAATGGCCATGGAGCTTGGCCAAGTTGCCGGCGGAGACAGGGCTTGTGACTGTCCGGACGATTGAAACCAAAAGGTCCGACTACAGAGATCGGGGTGATGGTTGTGCCGAGGAAGACGACGCTCTCGAGAGAGGGGGAAATGCCATGGGGCACGAGACTAAGAGGACAGCCCAATGACCAGACGGCAAGCCGCCGACGGCGGCGGAGGCTGGTGGAGCTAGGTGGGGGGGGGGGGGGGAGAGGCTGAAGGAAGATAATGGAGGTAGAAGGAGAAAGGGTGGGTAGGGTATCTAGAGAGAGAAATGTAGAGAGAGGTGAGAGTAACAATGTGGGGTTTTTTATATTTTGATGGTGTATAGATTTTTATTATGAAATGGTGGTGTAAAGCAGTGTTCAAAAAGTAGGCCTAGGCGGCCGCCTAGGCGCTATATGCCGGTATAACGCCTACGATTTGGTCAAATCAGCCATAAAAATCGGCCTGGCGGGCTCGGCGGTGCCTAGTCGGGCCTAGGCGGAGCTAGGTGGCCTCGGCGGCTACGCAGTTTCGGCGGGACTAGGCGGCTGAGGCGGGTTCTAGGCGGTTTTTACAATTTTTTTTTTTTTTTTACTAAATGCATTTAGTTTAAATATTAACTCTTATAATTTATTAATTTATAATTTTTTATATTTATCTTATGTTGTGTAATATTTAAAACATAACATGTAGATAATGTGTTTGATAAAATTACAATGAGAAGAAGTTATATTGTGATTATGTACTTATTTTGACTTGGAGTTTTTTTTATAATATAATATTAATAATATTATTGAGACTTAGGTGTATGGATTTATTAATTATAAGTTATAATTTCATTAGTGAAATTGAAAAAATAAATAAAATAATATATTTATTATAATTTCTAGGCACCGCCTAAGCCCCGACTAGACGCTCTAGGCGCTAGACGCCCGTCGGGCGCCTAGCGACTTCTAAAACACTAGTGTAAAGTGAAAAAAATCAAAAGCACAAATAAAAATACAGAAACAAGTAACAATTACATAATAAAATAACATATAACAAAAATGTTATAGCCACGCCAAGTGGGTACGGGTTGCATCAACCTAACCCACTACAAACAAATCATCCACAGCTGGGCACGCGGCTTCAGCAGTCAGAATTGCTTTTCACAATTTGCACGAAAAAAATAACAAAAATGGAGTTCCTGCTTATGACTATGAGCCGCCAGAAAATGACACCATAAAGTCATCACAAAAAAGATGGATAAATCAAATAAATAATCAAATAAACCGAAGGCCGAATTTAAAAGCTTTAATGTTTCGTGACGACTTCAATAGTCAAACGATTGGGCCTCCCTATAACTTGTATATCTAAGCAGGGTTATTTTCGTTATTCTGTATTCGCCACGTGTCGTCAAACTCCTTCATCTATATATATATATATAATTGTTAGTTAATCATTAAATAAAATCTCATAAATAAAACATAATTAATAAAATCTCATTTATTTTTCCTCCAAAAGAAGTTACAAAATTTGTTATTCATATTTCGCCTTTTACATTAATACATCCCTATTAAGTATAATCATGTAAAAAAATTAATAGCATTAACTATTATATAATATAATAGCAAAAAATAGCATTAACTACTATAATAATAATAATAATAATAATAATTTTAATAATAGTAATAATAATAATAATAATAATAATAATAATAATAATATCTTGAAACAATAAAATTATTTATACTTATGTAATTTATATTTAGTGTAAAATATTATGAGTTGGTAATAACATTAACTATTATATAATATAATAACAAAAACATGATTACACTTAATAGGTGTATTAATGTGAAAGGCAAAATATGAATGACAAATTTTGTAACTTCTTTTGGGGAGAAAATAAATGAGATTTTATTAATTAGGTTTATAAATACATGATTACACTTAATTAGGTTTATGAATATTATTATTATTATTATTATTATTATTATTATTATTATTATTATTATTATTATTATTATTTCATGAAACAATTTTCTTTAGAAACAATTATTAAATATATAGTTTTAATAGTTTAGTAAAAAAACTTCAAAATCTTATAAACAATTGTCGTTGTAATAAGAATAGTAATTATTATTATTATTATTTTTATTATTATTATTATTATTATTATTATTATTATTATTATTATAATAATAATAATAATAATAATAATAATAATAATAATAATAATAATAATAAAGTTTTCAAGTAAATTATTTGACCATGATCCCTCCAAATTATAAAAATTACATTATCCACAAATTTTTTTTAATCTATATAGTAATTCATATGTACTCAAATAATTTATATAAATATTATTTTGTTTTTACGAATGATTAAATCTTCAAATGTGGTATGTCCATTATCTAGAATTTTAATATTAAATTCACATATCTTGAAAATGTGATATGTTTATTATCTAGAATTTTAAATTCACATATCTTGAAAATGTGATATGTTTATCATCTATAATTTTAATATTAAATTCACACATATTACTTATAATATTTTATGTACATCTGTGCATGTGCATGTGTGAGGACCTGAACCGTGGTGGTGATAATTAGTATAAATAATTGGGGAGATATAATTTATTACTCGACCGTTCCCAACTAAATGTTATACGTACACAAAATAAATAGAGAAGAGTCTCGAAATTCAAAACATATGGAACTGGACCATCCCTTGGGTCACAGCAATCACGTGTCAATTCACATCCAGAATGCCGACGCTGCCACCACCTCCGCCACCACCACCGACCAGTCGTTCGACGTCCTGGACAAGGGCATTCCCAGCAGCAGCGACAGCGTCCAGACCAAGCTCGCCTGGCTCCGCACTCAGATCATCGGCGGCGCAGCCGAGTTCCACACCCCCTTTGGGCGCCGCCGCCTCACCTACGCCGACCACACCGCCTCCGGCCGCGCCCTCCATTGCATCGAGAACTACATCACCACCACTTTCCTCCCCTTGTACGGTATGTAATTAATATTAACATCACACGCATCTCCCCATAAAAAAAAAAAATAAAAATAAATTGCTGGTTACCATTTCTTCTCTTGAAATTAGGCAACAGTCACACGAGCGACAGCCACGTGGGCATCCACACGACGCAAAGGGTCCGGGAGGCCGCGGACTACGTGAAGAAGTGCCTGGGCGGCGGGGAAGGGGACGCTCTGTTGTTCTGCGGGTCGGGTGCCACGGCCGCCGTGAAACGCCTCCAGGAGGTGATGGGGATAGCGGTGCCCTCGACGATGAGAGAGCGAGTGGTGGGATGTCTAAGGGACGAGGAGAGGTGGGTGGTGCTTGTGGGGCCCTACGAGCACCATTCCAACATCCTGTCCTGGCAACAGACCCTGGCCGAGGTGGTCGAGATCGGCATCAACCCCCACGGCCTCCTTGACATGGAGGACCTCAGAGACAAGCTCGCTCTTTACAGATCCAACAACCGCCCCATCTTGGGCTCTTTCTCGGCCTGCAGCAACGTCACCGGAATTCGTACCAACACGCGGGCCGTAGCCCGGCTTCTGCACGAGCATGGGGGGTTCGTCTGCTTCGATTTTGCAGCCAGGTCAGCAAATTTAATTTTCTGCTGATTGACTTGTGTCAATTTCAGTTTAATTCAATCGATTCTTGAAGTTATTGTTTGAAAACAGCGGGCCATACGTGAAGATCGATATGAGGTCAAGGGAATTGGACGGGTACGACGCAATTTTCATGAGCACGCACAAGTTCTTGGGGGGTCCGGGCTCGCCTGGGATTCTACTGATGAGCAAGGCCCTGTATCGGCTGGGTTCCTCGCCCCCATCCACCTGTGGGGGTGGCACAGTTAATTATGTCAATTGCTATAATCAAAAGGCAAGTCTATTTTTTTTCTTTTTTTTTTTTTTTTAGTTTCACTCCTATTCTCTACCTATATTAAGTAATCAATTAATAAACATATTAATTAATTATATTAATCAATAAACATATAATTCATTATTTAAGACAAACATACAATAATGGCCTATATACACAGCAATAAATAGCATGAATTCTGATTTATATATATACTACTAGGTTAGAGCAGGCAAGCTAATTCCCATTAATAATCAAGATTTTTCTTACTCCATCATTCATGAGGACCACATCATTTTTATTTATTTTATTTTATTTTTTTCATTTTGTAACATGAGTCTGTTTTACTAAAAATTGAACATTTTGTCAAATTGATCAGGACACCATATACATAGACAGCATAGAGGAAAGGGAAGATGCAGGGACACCACCAATCATCCAGAAAGCAAGAGCCGCATTGGCTTTCTGGATAAAGGAGTACATAGGCTACAAGGCCATATCAAGGCTGGAGAAAAACTACATAGGGAGAGCCCTCGAAAGACTCGGGTCAAACCCTCACATTAAGATTCTTGGGAACACGAACACAGCTGTCAAGAGACACGCCATCTTTTCTTTTCTTGTGCTCTCAACCACAGATATATCAAGCAGGAACGAGGGGAAGCTTGGCCTGGACTTTTGGAGGGAGTCGGGGAACACGTTTGGTAAGCCCCTGCATGGTCCTTTTGTCGCCAAACTTCTCAATGACCTGTTTGGCATCCAGGCCCGAGGAGGCTGTGCTTGTGCTGGGCCCTATGGGCATAGGCTACTCAACGTTGATGAGCCACTTTCCCTCGCTTTCAGATCCCTCATTCAAAAGGTAAATGTAATAATATTGCTTCTCATTTATATATTACTGCTTTTAGGAATATTTATGAGAAAAAAAAAGAAGTAATTTTCAGCTTTTAAACAAAAATGCATACATTTCTCTTGTTATAATATGTCTTGATCCAGATAGGACATGTTTGCTACAAATTTGATAATGTAGGGTTACACTGGGATAAAGCCCGGGTGGACGAGGGTGAGCTTTCCGTACTACATGTCAGAGGAAGAATTTGAATATATCTTAACAGCCATTGAATTCGTAGCTGTTTATGGGCAGAGGTTCTTGAGTTGGTATAACTTCAGCTGGACGACGGGCGTTTGGACATTCAACAGTAAAGCTCTGAAGGACAATTACGTCAACCGTATCCTTGACGGGCCATCCTTATCGTGCATGATCAAGGCATTGAACATGGAGGCTAGTAATGAAGGGCAGGTGTGCTTGAAAAAGGACGACGTGCTTTGTAAATATATCAGCTATTTTGACACTGCAAAGAGGATAGCTGGAGTCTTACCGAAATTCCCACCACACAGAAAAATACCAGCGGATATTGACGTTAATCTTGTGCCCTTTAGGCTTTAGATTTTTTTTTTTTTTTTTTTTTTTTTTTTTTTTTTTTTTTTTTAAATCTCAGTTGTCATATCGAAATAGATGAATTATTGATTTTCATTAGAATCAGCTTTGTATAATTTTTACACTATAAGAAATTGTCAAAATGCCAACAAAAATTTTTCCATTGGAGATTACCAAAGGATCACCAACAGATTAGCAATGCATTATATATACAATTTCCTAAACAAATTACTGTAGAAATGGAGACACGAGATTGATACGAGAAAGGAACAAAAGAAAAATCAGAAGGAATCTTAAAACACCATTTTTGCTCAAGTTTGCATAATTTTCATTAACAGCCAGATTAAAAATGAAGAAGACGAGTTCATACAATATAAAAGGGAAAACTTCCCTCAGCTCAAACGAGACAAATCGAAGAGGCACACATGCCAGAAAATAATAAAACCCACAACTAAAAGAAACGCATAAAAGAAAAGAACTAAATCGTGTGACACTTTCTAACAGATAAAAGCAATAAAATGAACTTGCGCGTCGGCATGCTCCTCACAAGACTTCATCTGCATGCAAATTAATATGAACACTTCAACACTTCAACACCCCCCTCCCCCCTTCAAGTGGGAATGTAAGGATGACACACATTCCTAACTTGCACACAAATCGCTGAAAATTTGCACGACCGAGAGACTTGTTAAACAAGTCTATAGGCTGGAGAGAAGACATAAGATGTTCGGGCAAGAGAAAGCCATCCTTGTATAGATTGTACGCCACATGACAATCAATGTCTAGATACTTTGTACGCTCATGAAACACTGAATTTGCGGTAATATGAAGAGCAGCTTTGTTATCACACCACAAGGGAATAGGAGATTGAAGAGACACTTCAAGATGTGCTCCCAAGAAAACAAGCCATTGAAGCTCCCAAGCAGTGGTGGCCATGGATCTATACTCAACTTCAACGGAGGATCGAGAAACCGTTTTCTGCTTCTTAGTTTTCCAGGAAACCAAAGCTTGCCCAAGAAAAACACAATATCCTGTGAGAGACTTTCTAGTGAGAGCACAACTTTCCCAATCTGCATCACAAAAAGTATCCAGTTGCTGGAAAGGAGATGCTGCATAGTAGAGTCCCAAGGCAGGAGTTCCCTTCAAGTATTTGAGCAAGTGAATGGCAGCTGTCCAATGAGCCTGGGTAGGAGCTTGATGTTCGCAAAATATTTTCACTACCCGCAAGTGTACGGTGTAGCTGTAGAAAGCGGCGAGCAAGGTCGTATTCCACAGAGATTGTTGTTAAAATAATTAAGTACCAAAATATAGACGATTAAATATTATTTAGACTAACTCGAATTTGAATGATGATTTTGTTTTAAACTAAAGAATGAATGCAAAATAAATTCTTAGCACTAAAGAAGGCTTATTCTAATAAATCAAGTATGAGAAAATAGATTCTAGGCTATGCTTTCCTCCGGATTATTTTAGCGAAGTTTTCTTATTCATTCAAACCTTATTTAATTCTACCAATCGTAGGGATAATCGCTAAATTAATTTACACCTTTCTCTCGAACAAGTTTAATCGTAGATATTAATTGTTATCTATCTCCTCTCGGTCTCAAGATGAACAACTAACTCCCATAAGCTCCTAAGGTTCTAGTTTCCTCGCAAGATTCTATCTACCTCTCGGTCTGTTTAGTCTCTTACGTTATGAATTTCCCAATTCTAGCAATCAACTATCTCCTCTCAGTCTCAAGCCAATCACAAATATGCATAAATACGGGCCCTATATTCACACAATTCATATAATCACAAGAAATTGATAAACGAAAGATAGACCTGAATGAATAAACAAAATCACTTCATAAGATAATCCGAGTACTCGCAAATCCTAGAATCTCAAAGAGATTTACCTACTAAACATATTCTCAATACTCAAAATAAATAAATCCATGAGTTCAATGAAGAAGAAAAAGAGAAAAGAAATAAGAACTATTGTTGCCGTTAGTTCCCGGATCTTCAATCTTGACTTCCTCGAATCCCTCGTGTGTTTCGTGCTTTCTCTAGGCCTTCAATGGTGTCAAAAGTCCCAAAACCGTGTTCTCCAAGTTCCTTATATACTGTAGGGCAAATATGGGGTGAAAAAGGGGATAAATCGCATAAGAATCCTATTTCCCGCTGGTCTGTCTGCGCGTCACACGACTCGTGTCACAAGCCACACGAGTCGTGTGACTTTTCTCCAATTTTTAACAAACTTCCAGGTCCACACGACCCCTCACACGACCGGGTCACACGAGTCGTGTGAGGTCACACGAGTCGTGTCAATTGACACACGGGTCGTGTGAGAAAGCCGTACCGAAATTCTTCAAATTCTGCACCCTTTACCACCCACACGACTCGTGTCACCTACTCATACGAGTCGTGTGACTCATCTGCTCCTCATTTTTGTTGTTTTTCGTCCTGATTCCATCTTTAACGCTCTTCCAGGCATATTTCCTGCAAAACTAACGACAAATACACCTCTATCATAGATTAATAAATAAAATAAAATGATGCACAATTCCCACGATAAACACGGCTCTATATCACACTATATCACTCATAATCCATGAAAATATGATGAATGTCACTTGAACAAACTGACAAAGTTGTTGAACTCCGTAAGATTATCTGCCCTTAACAAGTTTAAGTACAACAACCTCCCAATAAGCCTTCTATAAACTGAGGAATCTAAAAGTATAGGAAACTGTTGTGAAGAAAGGTTGATGCCTGGAGGTAATGTAGCAGTTGGTTTACAATTATGCAAACCAATATCATGAACCATATCCAGTATATACTTTCTTTGTGTGATAGGTCCCCTTTCCAGTGTTGTATATCTCTAAGCCCAAGAATCGAAACTGACTGAAATAATATTTTCGATTCGAAACTACATATGTTAGTTCAAATATAATTTTTAAATTTTAAAAGTTCGGTTATTTGTATTCAATTATTGCTATTTTTATATTTATTAAACTATTAAAATTTAGTACAAATATTTATTTAACTATCAATTTATGTTATAATTCAAGTTTAAAAAATTACAAAATAGACCCCAACATTAACCTAATTTCCATAAACTAACCCTTAAATCAATTCATCCCCAAATCACCAAAATTACATCACATAAATCAGCCAATTCGCCCCTTCACCAAACTCATTCACACCAAAATTACATTCACAGCAATCAACCAATTCGCCTTTAACTATGCTCATTCACAAAAAATTAGTCAAAATCTATGTAACCTAAATCAAAATTCACATGTTCCTCGGCCCTAAAAGCATTTTCGGTCGCCGCATCCAATCTCCCGTTCAGGTCGTCGACGAGCTCATCCCGTTCAGGTTATCTTCGTCTTCACCACTCGAATCTATCGTCGCCCTCTGCAACTCGTCGTCGGTACGATCGGGGCCCTCGAATGGTGGGCTTAACGAGATTGAGACAGGGGCATGAGACGGTTGTGGCGGTGTTGGGATGGCTGGCGGCGGTGACGACGGGAGAGATCGGGATTGGCAGTGACCGGTGGTTTGTGGTGGTTGATTCTGACCTTGTCTGGGAGGAGGGGAGGGGGAGGGCGCTGATGGGGATGGCTGACGGCGCTCGGCAGAATGGTAGCGGCGGCGACAATAACCGGTGATTTGGGGGCTGAATTTTTGCCTTCCCCACTGGTGTGTATGTGTGTGTATGTGTATGTGTGTGAGTGTGTGTGTGTGTGTGAAATTATGTGTGAATGCGAGAGATAATAATAAAAATAAAGTGTGGGCTCATGTGGTATATGTATAATGACCAAATTTTCTTTAATTATTGGTCAAATGCACATATTTGACAACAATAATTCAAATAATTACAAGATTGCCATTAATTATTGACCGTTAATTATTAAAGTTTGACTTCATCTACTCATTGACTTGATGGACCTAATAGTGTAGATTTATTCTTATTTCTTTCACTATCTCTCTCTCATATGATCCTCTCTTTCTCTCTCTCTAGATATATATATTAATCAAATATCTAGACAATTTAAATATTCAAAAACCTAACTACTTAATAACTAACTTAAACGCATCCATTATATTTAAATATACTTTTTTTTTAAAATATTGGGCGGGTTCGAGTGGTCAGTTTTTGACTATTTTGAACGGTTCATTAAGTTTTTGGCATGTTCGTTAGCAACCGCTACATTCCAACGAAGTAGACCAATTTTTGATCCAACCGGTGTGATTTAGAAAACAATTGATCTTTAAATTACTTTTGGACATATCCTTTTGCCTGAAATGATATGTATATAGTAAAATAATCAAAGTGTTATAAAATCCCATAAAAATAACTAATATTACACTTTTTTTTTTTATTTTGTTTGAAGTAATTGATCGAGAATAATATTAGACTCATTCGATGTTAGCGGATTGAAGATTAGTAGAGATTGAGCTTTATTTAGAGGTTTGACCTTTTAAGTTCGCTAACTAACTTAATTATTTGATACTCGTATAATTAACTTTTTGTGCCAAAAATGTAATTTTGAAAAAGCTCAATATATGAGCATTTTGGCTGACAGAATCCATAACATAAAATTTTAAAAATAGTCATACAAACCACTATCTAATGACTCACTTACGAACCGTTATACAATCTGCTAGTCAACTAGCTATTGTAATCTACTGTCAATTATTACTAATACGATGAACTATCCACTATCAACTAATAGTCAATAAAGGCCATTAATTTAAAGCTACATGTGGTTACATTTTGATCTTAGACTTGATAATATCATGCTTTCCTATATATTCTATTCATTTTCATATGAGTTGTTTGTTTTTAGTTTATGGTCCATAGATAAGAATGTCAATGGAATGATGAATGGGAGATGTTGAATTGGTCTGTGCGGTCAAAATAGATAGTAGCGTCTACTCTTTCTTTTTCTTTTTCTCATTTTTCGTTCCTTTTAGCTGAGTTGTTTACCTCTTTTCCTCTTTTCCGTTTATCCACGAAT